TCGATTGTAAGCTGGCATCAACAACAGATGACTTTAACAAAATTAACGAGGCTTATTTTCAGTTTCACATTTGTAATTTGTAAAATGCAATATTCACTAAAGGATTTTTTCATTGTTCAGTGGACTTATACTGAGTACTAAATTGATGCCCAATGAATCCAGTGATTTTCAGCTTTGAAACTGGGCAAACCCCGAAGCTTTCTTAAGAGGCCATGGGTATATCATGCTGAGGATTTCTACAGTTTTCTCATTTTTATTTAACTCCATGTCTTTTTTCTATGTATGGTCAATGTACACAGGGTTATAGTTGTTTTTGCTGGAAGCAGACAGTCACAGAGGCCATCAATGAACCTTTGCAGATGAATATTAATTGAAAATACCTCAAAGACTCAACTCATATTTCTCCTCCAATTAAATCACAGAAAAGACAGAGTTGGAGGTCCTCATTGTTCTATTTAATGTTTCAAACAGGATTTTATTGAAATGGCGAGATCTATTAAAGTTCTTCGTAAAGGCTATGAAGCAAATTTTGCATAGAAAATTTGGGTAAAGCTTTACATTACGGCACGGTAACAATATGGTAATTGCATAGTAATAGTGCGTAACAAATTGTTAATAACCAGGTAATTGTGTGTAATTACTATAGAATTTCTATGAAATTACCATTGTAATACTTTGATAAGAACAATAACAAAGAAATAATTACAAAGTAATTTATATGAAATTACTATTGTATTATATGATGATATCGACAGGATTATGAAATAGTAGATTATTTGTGAGTAAATACTAAGGACTTACCATGAAATTACCTTTTCATGACATAAGGTAATGAAGTAGTCTATGTGTATAACTACCAAGTAACTGCTATAAAATTACCTTTGTATAATAAAATGTGACTAGGTAATGAACTAGTACATGTGAAAATGACATGAAATTACCTTTGAATTGTGATAATGATATAGTAGCCTGTGTGTAAGTACTACACGATTAGTAGGAAATTACCCATGTTTGAATTTACAGTAATTACCAAGTTATTTCTATAAAATACCCCTTGTAATATGTTTAATAGTTTTTATGTAATTAACTGGAATCAGGTTTGCAAAATTCACATCTGACTGTTTCTACTCTATTTTGTGGAAACATGACCCTCCCTATGGACCCTCCCCAAGAACCAGAATATACAAAGAAACATGTTTAATACTTTTTATGTAATAAACAGTCAATTACAAACAGTACTTGCTCTCATAACTTACTATAACAGAACATGTGCATTTATTCAGTTATAACAGGTAAAGCTGCACATTTGAAATATTTATAAACATTACCAAAGGTTGACAGTGCCATAGTAAAAATTGTTAAATGGAGTACACACTGGGTGACCTAATAAAAGGTTATACAAAGGAATAATCATCTCCAATACAGAAAAGTTGGATTTTAAACAAAATATGTCCACTACTTATAATGAAGCAAATGTAACAGTGCACCATAAAAGCATAAAAAATATCAAATTTAAAACATTAAACCATTAAACAATAAGTATTCTGTCAGAGACCTTTAACAATTAAGATTACTTAAACTTATAAGACATGGGTAGGAGCTCACCGTCACCTTTCAGTTTTTGAATTTTTGATTTCAGATTAGGCTCACAATCAAGAAATTATTTTATTTCTTGAGCATATTTCAAGACTTAGCCTCCTGTAAAAGCTGGAATTCGTGACTTCTCTGTTTCAGCAGCAATCTGAACTTCCGCAATGATAGCAGTGTATGCTATCGTGTTTCTATCAACGTTGTGCTTCTCACAGCTCCTGCTCACACTTTTTGTGTTTTTGTATGTCTTCAAAATTGTCTTATAACGGTGCAGAATGCCTTCTGGATCACTTACTGTGGAAAAAAAAAACATTCAATTATCTTAATCTACCTTACGTTTTTCAGAGCCCATTATTAATGTAGCAGCATAAATGGTACGCTGCCACTTTAAGACCAATTGCGGCTCCTGCATATAAGCAGGTATCCACCTGCCACGAAGCTGCGTGCGTCATGACGTCGTGTCATTTTGGTTCCGGTGTCTGCTGAGCGGTGCTGGGTAAGGGCTAGCGTGGCTAGATAACATTCACCACATTTAAACAAAGCCTTCACATCCCATTTTGTTACAGCTGTGCGGCATAGGCGGAACTGCGACAACAGTTTATCTGGCAGCCTGGTAATGCGACAGGTATGCGGCTATTGTAAATACTAGTTTTCATCAGCAGTTGTAATGACGATCTGCTCTATTTCTTTTAGCCTCCCGATGAGTCTTTGACCACCATAATATTGGATTTGACACTCGCTGCTGTTTTGCCTACGGAAATTCTTCAAAAGACCTTTCTGAACTTTCTCCTGGCGCCGGAGCGTTGATGGCACTACGAAGTGCAATATTGTAGTGCTATGGACTACTGTTTTACTCATATTGTTTCATTTTTTTCCTTTAGGGACTGAGGCTTCTGTGGTGGCGGTGGTGATCCCTGGTGGCGGTGTCTTGGTTTGTGTGTTTTGTTGGAGCACCTTCTTTTTTTTGTTTGCCGTGTTTTTGTAGTGTCCAGGGTGGTCCCTTTTCTTCACTGGATGTTGCCCCTTTTCTCACCACTTCTCCCCCCACTGGTAAGCCTCAGTTTCCTCTTATGAAATTATTTTATAGTTAATCTTATTAAAGAATGTAGTTACTGTTTTAACCATTTAATTGCAGATTATTGTGACCACTTTTAAACGGGGGGAAGAATATTGGAGTTAATAAACTTTTGTAAAAGAAAAGCATTTGAATCTTGTCTCACTTCCAGTAGAACTTACCTGTGTCCTTACTATTTTATTTTTCCTGGAGTCATTCCAGGTGGCGTTGTTGGTATCCCATATTAATTCTAAACCTCTTATATTTGGGTTTCATAAAAAAGGAGAAAATCCATCCACCCCTCTCCCCCAGGTTGCCACATTAAGTACATACTTCTTTTGCCAAATCTGTGTTTACTTTTCTTGAACTTCTTTTTATTTTTATCATCTAAAGACGAAGAGTTGTCAGAGTCAGCAGAAGAACTTGAGGATGATGAATGCTGCCGTTTTTCTCAAAACAAGTAAAACACAAAATTATTCCTTACTCACAAATAATTGTGTGAAATTTCTTCCACATTCAAGTCACAGGCTTGCAGCTCCAAAATTATGAATGATTATCTTCAGGTTGTTTAAGTGATCACATACAAAGAGAACTGATTGTGTTAGTTAATACATTTTCTAAGTTACTTCTGCCGTTTTATTGAAATGTAGAGTAGTAAAAAGTAATGAGTTGTCACAAAAAATAAAACTCAAGTAAAGTACAGATTTTCAAAATTTGTACTTAAATACAATACTCAAGTGAATTTACTCAAGTTACTCCACACCTTTGTCATAAATATGCCTTATGAGCACAGTAGCATTTTCTGTCAAATCAAGTACATTGTCTTTCTCACTGTGTGCAGGTGAAGAGCTGAGTTAAGGATCCAAACCAGTATGAATGCATCATAAACTATTTTCTAGAGATAGTTATTTTATATAAACCAGACATGGGTGTGCTGCTGTCTAGTAGTTTTTTCATTTGTTCCCTTAGAAAGTCCAGTTCTTCTTCAAATGCCTTTATTCTGGCTTTTTGCTGATCCATAATTGTGGAAGCTGTAGGAGCAACTGGGGAAGATGTTGTTGGTCCTAAATTTGGGGGGAAACAAGTTTTAATAAATTGATTTTTTTTTAAGTGTCTCTACTGATTTATACTTACTTTCCACATTTGTTTCTTTACCATCAGCATTTGTAGGGCCAGCTGTGGGCTATCGGCCCCTCATCCTTTTTGGAGGCATTTTTCTGAAAATGTTATCACACACACACAAACACAAGAAAAATACAATTATGATACAATTATAAACAATCCTATACTAAATTCCAGCTTTTATGTTGTTTTATGTTATGTTTCTTAGTACGGCGGCACGGTGGCGTGGTGGTCAGCATTTGCCCTCAAAAATGATGGGTAAGAACTGGAGCTGAAAATACACCCATAAGAAATGTCCATCCATCCATTATCAATACCGCTTATTCCCTGATGGGGTCGCGGAGCCTATCCCAGTGGTCAACGGGCGAGAGGCAGGGTACACCCTGGACAGTCCCCAGTCCATCGCAGGGCTACACACAGGACATACAAGGACAAACAACCACTCACACTCACATTCACTCCTAAGGGCAATTTCCCCAATTTCCAATCAGCCTAACATGCAGGTTTTTGGACTGTGGGAGGAAGCCGGAGAACCCGGAGAGAACCCACGCAGACACAGGGAGAACATGCAAACTCCACCCAGAAGGGTCCTGGTTCGAACCCAGAACCCTCTTGCTGGGAGGCGACAGTGCTAACCACCACACTACTGTGCCGCCCCGTAAGAAATGTGACAGATCTAACTGGTATGCCTCTTCTATTCCAGTTTCCACTTTTTTGCATAGTCTTCATGAGATACCCTCCCCTCACTGAGTGGCATGCCAAACATGCTATCAATAGGCAATCTGGGGTTACGACCAAAGAGCATGCACGGTGCGTATGTAGATAGAAAGATTACTTCATTCGCCTAGAAAATGCTCTACCGACTGAGCTAGCCGGGCTTGTTTTGTGTGTACAGCACTGTTAATAGCGTTGTGTGATTGTATATATGCAAGTATGTATGTATGTATGTATGTATGTATGTATGTATGTATGTATGTA